TCCCCCACGGCTGAAAGGGCGAGCATGTTTGGTGTAACGGGGATTCGAACCTGCGACCCTCAGATTGTCTTTGCGGGCCCTTTAAAACATCGGTTTTAACTATACTAGGTAGAAAATACGGCATCTTATAGTTACCATACCAAGGCTGAAAATTAATAAAAGTTGTTATTGGAAACAAGCCACTCAATTCAAGGAGCATAAATGCACCGAAAACCTAAAGATAAACTAAACATGATCAAGAAACCTAAAATTAAACATTATCAAGAAACTTAAAGATAAACTAAACATTATTATTAATAACATAAATGTTAAATTTTTACCACAGTTTGAAAAGGTATTGGAAGAAGTATATAACGATGTAGAAACTATACGTTTACAATGACTTGTGCTGTATAAATTCTAAAAGAATACTTGTAATCCGAAATACCTCCAACATGGCTGTCACATGAAAATATCAAGCATAAGGAAACTTTGGATCCTTTCTTTATCCCAACCCATTTAATTTCATTAAGTTAAACCTAGTCTTGTGCCAAGCTAAATGCCTCTGGTACCACTTTGTCTGTATTCATAAACTTTGCTTAAGTTACTCTTATTCCTAGTAGTTTCTAACTTTGATCATATCAAATGGTCAGAGCTTATCTTTAACATAATAAAACATACAGTAAGTAGTTTGAACTTTACTGGCTATATTATTTACCTAGGCAAGTGATTTCTTCTCGGACGTTTCCACAAAATGAGCTGGCTTGTTCGAGAACAGACCATTTGTCGCAGTCTTTGGAAATCCTACCAGACGTCACGTTTCTTGTTTTATATACAGAACAGATAGTTGAAAACCTTACTTCGTAAGCAAAGAAAAAAGTGTTCTTTTTGATACAGCAATGACACTTTATCAGAAGAAACAGTATTAGCCTACTTTAAACTGGTTTATACAGTTATATTGTTCTCATTTCCTAGGGCGTGTTTTGTCATTTGTAGGCTTGACATTCATAGTAATGAAACACGCATATACGATTTTAAATCACTGTATTATTTGACATATATATACATTAGAAATACAGGCCTTTCAAAAACATTCTTACTGTAATAACTTCCATGATTCATAGCTACTGCAAAAACTATACTTAAATCTACAGTTTACGTTTTCAGCTGGAATCTACTTCACTTTCACGTGTGTGTAATAAATTATTTGAGTTTTCCAGTAGAATAAGAAGTATTATTTAATTACCCTTAAATCCTCACATCTATAGACTTATGTATTTATTTATGACGATTTCAGATTAATTTACTGTCATTTTTGTATGCTTAGCAATATATAGAAGAAACGACACATCAAGACCATGTCAATTTTATCTTTTTTTTTTAATCCTTAGGCCACTGTCTCTATCATAAAGGAATCTTCTTCTAGCACTAGTTTCAGTGTTTGCAACGTTCGGATAGAAATTTATCACAATCTGAAAACTTATTATTATTTCAATAACTCGTGTCTTTTAAACGATATTATTGTATTAATGTTTTGGATACCTGTATCATGCATGGTCATATTTATTGGGAAATAATACGAGGTTTGAATTACAAATAACTTCGTTTTACTGCTGATTTATAACATTTCTGGCGTTTGGAAATTGAATAAATTTATAATTTTCTAGAGCTACAAATTATTCATAGAAGTTGGAAAGAATAAGAATTTTTTTCACCATTGTAGCATATCTAGCAATTTTTTGTGGGGGTGGAGGAATAAGAAGTCCCATTAAAAGTGGATTGATGAATGAATAATGGTCAAAAGCATGAACTTATATTGTAAGTACTTTAAGTATCTGACAGTGACTGAACATTTTTTTTTAGTTTACATTTCAGTTGACTTTTTATTCCATACAGAATGTGTATTCAAACTTAGTCGTATAAAATGATAATTCATAGAAATCACCTAAATATTTTGTTGTAAACGTTTCGAGATATATGAAGCTTATTAATGGTTGTCGCAAGCTACTATACAAATCTGGAAACGACTAACTTAAGTATCAATACATTGAAAGGGCAAATTTTCTACTAAATGTGCACGTTATTCAAAAAGACAAAACTCGGGTTTGGAAGTTAGTATACGTGCGACAGATCCAACTGACGACGAGAGGACATTTAAAGCTATATGTAATAACTATCCGAAGTTTAAACAAACACGGTATAAGTAGGTTGGACTGCATTATATTTGGTATTTGTTTTACTGTACTTTTTATGTATAGGAATAATTCAATCACATTTGAAGTTGAGAATAAGCTACGTTTATGCAACTTTAAGACTTCCAGATTTGTCTTAAGCACCTGAATAATAGAACTAATATAAAACAGATGTTTGTTACTATTATCTTTTGTAGCCTAGCAAGTAGTACATCTTTAAATACTTTATTCGTCAGGTTAATACGTTTAAATGTAGATTACACGGTTTTACTATAGAAATGTAATATTGAGAACTCTTTTTTTAGGAGTTCATCAGTCTTTAAAACGTGCACAATTGTCGTTTGATTGATATCATACGCGTACTAAAAGATTTAAATAAACAACAGCACATGAGATCACTACAAAACTGATAAACCAGACCTGCTTCGTTATGCACGTGACATGTTTTCTAATCTAAAATTAGTTAAGATAAAAAATTTTAAGATAATATTTTCTTTTTTGTGCTCTAACTAAGAGTTGAGATTCAAAACGGTTTCTGATTTATATTCTGTCGAAATGGCTACGAAAGTTCCTAAACGTGCTATTTTCAATAGCTCATGAACTAATTCAATACTCTATACTCTGTTCCATTTAGGTGTTACAATAACTTAACTCCTCCGTTTATTTTCAATATATATATATTACACAAGCTTAAAGTATTTTGAACGTGAAAATATAGATTATATAGTATTACTATGTCTTACAGGAACGTAATATTAATGATTCTAGACCGTATATATAGTTGAAACATTTGATATCTATGACTATAAACAGCGTACCTTTAAAGAATAGGTATTGTTAATGAGTAAGAAAATCTAATTTACCATATATAAACAGCAAAAACTTACCGCGTTATTCATATTACGAAAAAGGTAAAAGATGTTACAATAATACTCTGCAGAAACACCAACAACAAACTACAACGTTATTGATATTAGTAAATGGCGTTACAATAATACTCTGCAGAAACACCAACAACAAACTACCAAGTTATTGATATTAGTAAATGACGTTACAATAATACTCTGCAGAAACACCAACAACAAACTACTAAGTTATTGAT